TCAGCACACAACTCCTTCGAGCCTCGACGCAGAGGGCTTGGCCATGTGAGCCGAGAAGCGGCTGTCTGGCGAGAGGGAGGGGAGCGGCGCAGCATGCTGTTGTCTCTGGCTGCCATCTGCAGATATCAATCGGATCGAATTGAGCTGCAGCAGCTGCATTTTGAGCATCTGCATTTGCGTTGCGTCTATATGCATATACATATATATATATTCACTTATCATATATCACAGCTAGCTGTGCCAGACTGTTAGCCATGCGATATCTTTTCGAGGCATTAGCGCCCAAAGCAGCGACTGCGCTGGTGCTGCGATGCGGGCTTTGCCATGGGAACGCATTTATTAAGCAAATTTTCTTGCAGTGGGACCATCTTCAGAATGTAGTAATAACATTAAAATGAGTGCATTATTCAAAGCACAAATCTCTAGTACTTGAGATAAGTTTTTTTTTAACATATTAGTGACAAAGGGGGCGTGGTAGCCAAAGAGTGTGCATTACGAAATCTTTATGTTCCTCAAATATATATCTACAATATTCAGACTACGCTCGAAAAGCGCAGTAAATGTATCGATTATTATCGATAAACAGGAAAAAAATATGATAAAATCATATTGCGTATTTGATAAGCGACTTTACATTCGCCAACTACATAAATTTTTACTAAACCCATTTTCCATGGGTTCAGGATATTATATATATATGTAAATTCCAGGCTCTTAAAGCCTTGTGGGCTAGTGCGTAGAAGTCAACATTTTGGATATGAATTACGTAAATCGGTCAAACGTTACGCTGCTCCAAGGCTCAAATGTTGAAATGCTGTCCGTGTCCATTCGATTTGAAAATGTATTGTATTTGGTCATTAATGACTTGCCGCTCATTATTTGAGAATTACATCCAGGGGGGAAGGGGGTTAGCCGGGAGGGAGGCGACTTTGAAAAGCAACCCAATTGCTGTTGTGTCGGAGCGAATATGCAGCTGCATTTGCCATTGTGCGGCAGCACCTGCCCGGGCTGAATCATTGTTCCTTAGTGCAGAAATAGCCATGGGATAGAATTAAATAATAACAACAATAGCATTTGTCGGACTGAATGCGATGCAGGTGATAGTGTCTGGTATGCACTGATTAGTTACTCCTCCCACTCACAGACACACCCACATAGACACCCACACACCAGCCTTAGCTTAGGGCCAATTGACTGAAGGACTTGTGAGTTAATAAACGCAAATATTGACTGCCCGATGGCTAATGAGATACAACACTTAGATGTGTTAATTAGACGAATGAGACGCCATCAGCGCAAAGCGTTCTTTAAATCACCTTCAATTAAGGTCAATTATGCCAATGTCAAACGATAGTCAATGCCAAGCAAATGAGCAAATCAAAACGATTATATCACAGCTGCGGAAAAACATTTCACAAAAATTTCAATCGAAATGCAATCGGATCTAGAGCGGGAGAGTGACAGGGGTAGCCGGAATACTCTGAAATTCAGCGTAAAATTCGAATTAATAATGAAATGCAATAATGCACTGTCGGTCCATATGAATGCAAATACGTGTCGAAACGCGTTTATTAAGAACAGGTACAGCATCACAGTCAGGGACATAGCCAGGGGCAGAGCCAGAGCCAAAGAGATATTATTTAATAATTTAGTCGAATGACATCTATGAAAAACAATGAAAAAGATCCGGATCCCAAATTCAAT